GCAATAACTCAACAACGCCGTAACCGAATTTCAAAAACCAAACATGAAATGATATCAGAATTTAACGTAGCATCTGAATATGTAATGATATACAGGGCGTTCTATTTTAAAAAATGGAATTTTGGTCTGTAGCACCTACACCAAACACCCTGTATATTTAAAAATTATATCAAAATATAGCTCTCATGAACTCCTAAAACTTTTGTATGAAACATTTTTGTGTATCTCCTTCAACAAACAAGATATTGCCTGTCACATAAAATGTGGGACACCCGGTATATTCAAAGTTGAGTAAAAGTTCGGGAGGTGACCACAAAAGTGTCTCTTTCTTCTTGGATAACTTCGAAAAATTGATCAATTTCATATAAAGGATGTTGGGTTAGTATTTTCTTCAATAAGGAATCACACGTTAAAAGGTAAGACCTCGTTAATCCTTAGCTCGCACAAGTTTCGACTTCTGAGGGTTGTCGTTCGTAGAGGTGCGACAGCTGGTTAACGGAAAAACAGATTTTAAACAGAATAAGTTTTTGAATCTTCTAAATGGCAAGTTACGAAATTCGGCAGAAAAGGCATTGCATAGCTTAATTCTTATATTATCTGTTCTTTTCAACCTATTAGCTGTAGGAACAAGGTTTGATTTATTTCTTTTACCATGTTGGTGTATATCCTTGTGAGCAATTTCATTCAACAAGTTTTGTTGAGCAAGAAGCAGATTTTCATAGACAATAACTGAATATAGAGTCACTATTTTAAGTTTTACAAATATTGGTCGACACTTTTCATCATAATTGGCAGAGATTATGCTTCTTACTGCAGATTTTTAAATGACAAATATTCTATTAAGATGTACCTTTGATGCATTATTTCAGTTGATTATACCATACCTAAGGACTGAATAAAAAAGAGAATGATATGTTGCAAGTGCGCACTTTGATTTACTATTTTTTTAATTCTTCTGATAGCAAAAACCGTCTTACTAAGTTTACTACATATGTTATTTATGTGGTCTATCCATTTCAGGTTGGAATCTATTTGTACTCCCAAAAATTTGGTAGAATTTTTGTTATTTCGATTTAAGCAAATTATTTCAAAAGTTAGAGTTTCTGTTTTTTGTTCATTGAGAATCAAGTCATTTGGTGTGAACCATGATTCAGCTGTCTCTAATATGTCAGTATGGATCATATGAGGATCATCTATTTTATATATTTCGTTGATATAAATTAGAAACAGAAGTGGCCCCAATATTGACCCTTGTGGTACTCCTCTTAATATTTTTCTTTTTCACATTTGGTATTTCCTAGATCAACAATTTGATATCTTTCGTTAAGGTATGACTTCATCATGTCCAGGCAGACACCTCTCACTCCGTAGAAATCTAATTTGGCCAATAAAATTGAGTGATTTACCGAGTCGAATGCTGAAGTAAGGTCTGTAAAAACGCTCACATATTTTTCTTGGTTATCAAAGGCGTCTTTTATACTATTTGTGAGAAAGTTTATTGCATCAGACGTCGATTTTCCTTTCCGAAATCCAAATTGATGAAGACTCAGAAGATTATTTATATCAAAGTATTTTACTAGTTGTTCGTAAATTATGTGTTCGAAAATCTTTGAAAAAGTTGGCAGTATTGCTATCTGTCGAAAATTTTTTGGTTCAGATGTAACACCTTTTTTATGAATTGACAGGATTCTACCAATTTTTAATTGCTGAGGGAAGTAGCCTTCACTTAGACAGGTACTGATAATATCTATTAAGGGTTGAGTTATGCATTCAATGGCACTTTTTATGACTAAAACATTAACACCGTTTATATCAATAATACTAGTATTTTTCGTTCGTTATTGTTTTAAGCTTATTTAAAAAAAATAACTTTTTAGTTTAATGTTTTTTAAAAGCGTGTTTTTTAGTTTTTTAAACTATATTTATTTGAATATTCAAATCGGTTCATTATTGTATCTTTGTTTATATAGATCAACAATAAATGTTGACTTCCTAAATTTACTTTGCCTAATAAGAGTTTTTCATATATTTTTATTATTTTTCAGAATAAATTATCTGGATCAAGAAGAATGCCAATTCTTTACACCACTGAAAGGAATATGAAAATGATTCAACATGTTTTAGATACGTGGTGTTACGATTATGACGAGGATACTCCCCTTTTTAAAGTTTATAGTTTGGAATATATGTTCAGGATTTTGAGGAACACTGTTGCTGGGGATGACGTTTGGACAACCGATACATTCAGTACAAGAGAAATAGAAAAAGATGTGTACAGTTTTGCTAGAGGTATTTGCTGTGAGGTGAGTTATTGAATTTTGTTTTGAAGTAGTGAGAAAATGGGTATAGATTATGTTTGTCTTGTTGTCTATGTTGTCATGTTGTCATATATAAAATCTGTGCTGTAATGTGAAAAAGTTACTCATATTTCAAAGAGAGGAATAGCGTTTTTGAATTTGAATCAAATTTGAAATTCAAAATTGAAAACTTGAATTGAAATTTTTGTTACCTAATAATACCAATGTCTGTAATGAAATTGTGTTTTTAGTTACCTAAATTGATTTTTTATTTCAGTATCACGAAGTTACCAATGTACCCCTATATTGCAGTCGTTCAATTTGTGTTAGGCAAGCTTTCAATATTTGCGATAATTGCTGCTCCGATCTGCGTATCACCTTATTACCTGGAGTACACTTACCTGATGCTGCTCTGACGACGGTCCGAAGAGGATCTAGTAGAACTGCTTCATCCGCGCCTTCCATTTCTTCCCAATCTTCAAAATATACTGTGAGTGATACAATAATAAGGCAGAATGCAATGCAATGGACATTTACATCTCTGAGATGAATATGGCATTATGCATTGGGGGACATCATCCATTGCTTCCAGAGTTTGTGTCTTACATAAAAGAGCTTTCTTATTTTGTCAAATTTAAAATCAACTGATTCATGTCGAGTAGCATTTGAAACTTCCGCGAGACATAAGCGGAACCACCTATTGGTGTGACACCCAAGTCAACTTGCCAAGTTTTTATGTCAGTGTTAGTGGTTTGACCAATCAACCGACAATTGCGTTGGCAGAAATTTGAGAAGCTAACCTGAAATGTCATCGAAAAACGAATCCATATGTTTCTAGAAATGATATGAAGTCGAGATTTTCATAGAATTATTTTCCAGCAGCTTGATTGCATTAACCTTTCTCGATTTCATATCATTTCTAGAAACATGTGGATTCGTTTAACGATGACATTCCAGGTTAGCTTCCCAAATTTCTGCCAACACAGTTGTCGGTTGATTGGTCAAACCACTAACACTGACATAAAAACTTGACAAGTTGACTTGGGTGTCACACCAATAGGTGGTTCCACTTATGTCTCGCTTGTGTTTACGCAATTATTTTTATTAAGTACTTATCTTGGTTTTTCACATTTTGTCTTCAATCGAGGACCGCCTGCCCGGTATTGACGATGCCCAATAGGCTGAAACAGCTGTCTACCAGTGGCTCCTAAATTGAAATCAACATGGAAATGATCAGAATGGGACTTATTTTTTGACTCTTGAAAACGTGGCGAAGTTCTCGAACATAAATTGAAACTGAATACCACTAAAATGAAAGCTAGGATATTGACAACCCAATATAAATATAACTTAATTGATATCAACTCCATTGATATTGACATCTCCGGCAAAACTATTGAAATTGTGGAAGAATTCAAATACTTGGGCTTTATCGTTGATAACACTTTGAACTTGAAAAAACACTTCCAGTATATGTGTAATAAAATTTCTAAAAAAAATGTTTTTCTTTGCTGGAATTAGTAGACAACTAACATTTCAATTTAATTTGACTGTTTATAAAACAATAATCCTATCACACTTTGATTACTGTGCTTTTGTGATATCATTACTAGATGGTAATTCTATCTCTACTCTACAAAATTTACAAAACAGAGGAATGCGCTTGTTATTAAAATGCCATAAGTATACTCCTATATTATCATTGATTAATGTTTTGAATTGGATGACAGTAAAAGATAGATTACAATATTTTTCTATGATATTCATATTTAAAATATTCACTAGAAAAGCACCACATTACTTCAATGAATTCTCTGATTGATTCAGCCATTACTTGATGAAGATCCATAGGAATTTCATAAACTACACCTAATGATTTGATCTCCACAAAAAAGTTTGTGGAGATAAAATCGTGAGGTGTAGCTTATGAAATTTCAATGAATTCATTAGATATAACCATCAGATACACAAATAAGATACAAGAGGAAGTGATGACTTGGTTGTCCCACGAACAAACCTTGCAAGAACAATGAATTCTATATTTCACTGAGCACTCTTGGACTGTAACAAGATTCCTGATGAAATTAAACAAAGTAACACCTTCCAACTCTTCAAACGCTCCTCATCTCAAAATCTATGAGCAAAATATTATTCCAATTGAGTTGTTCTTCATTCTTCTCTCTATTAATCCTTCCATCATTTACTACTGCTACGTTTTTACACACTATATTCTACTATATAGGTCTTATATATTTTAGTTTATTTTGTATTTTGTTTAGTAACTGGTATATTTTGTATTATCTTTATGTATATTAGGACATCTATTTCTAATAAATCTATTTCTATTTCCCTTCAGACGCAGTTTGATCTCTGTTAGAGTATTGGTACATGAGATGTTTCTTCCCCGATTGGGGCTTTGTTCACAAGATGGAGCTGTTACTAGTTGAAAATATTTCTCTTAGACGAAAGTTTCATACGTGCAGTTGGGCTGCGTTGAAATTAATCGAATCCCAGGAACTTTGCTATTTGGGTTGGATCTTTCCCGTAATGATGAGAGGTAATACCTCGAAATCGGTCTGTAGGTGATCTATTCAGTTTCAGCATGGTCTTGCTGCTGGATGAACAGGAAACATCTGTGAGACCAACCTCTGTGAGATAAATTGCATAAATGTCTGGGAAGTAGTTGTTTTCGGACAGGCATTTATTAGGACCTACGGTGTAGGTAGTTGGGAGAGTTGAATATTTTGAGATTTCATTTCGAAAATTCCTACTTCTGAGTATGTTATCAAACGTCAAACTCAATTATTGAACTGACAGTTTGTTCTAAAAAAAAAAAAATTGTTTAATGTCTAAACAGGAATAAATCCCAATAACAAGACATATTAATATTATTAACAAGCATGTTAAAGTTTTATATCTGCCTATATACACACAATACACATACATATATACATACATACATACATACATACAAAATATATAGGATCCAATGAAAAATAAGAATTGGAACTTGACTGGGAAAGTGACAACTGGGGTATCTCATTAGAAATGAGTAAAGTGGTGAAAAAATGGATATTTTTCAATAGTTTGTCACTTAATAACAAAATGAAAGCTATTAGAATTTCAAAGCCTTATGCAACACTAATTTGTAAGCAACTTCTTGGGGCGTGAAGCTTAGAACTGTAGTAGACTAGTATGCCAGAGGTTCTGAATTCAATCTTGGGTCAAGTCAAATCTTCTTCAGTTTTTTTCCACTCAACTTTCAAACTATTAAAAGTTGGTTAAAAATGCCGAAAGCTTTTCTTATAACATTTTATGTTATTACTCTAATTCGGAATATCCTTTACAAATAAATCTTATTTCAAAATATTCCTGTTGAAAGTTATGCAAAAATTATAGTATTCTACTTGCGATAACGTTATAAATCCACATTCAATGTTTCTACTTTCAAAGTTTGTTCAAGAGATCAACCCTTGCCTTCAGAATATCCGAATTTTTTGGTAACAATCTACTATTTTCATAAATTTTTATTTATGTTATATAGGTAGGTATAAACCTAAATCATGGTTTTTTTCTATTCCACCAATCAATCACTCGGATACAGTTTCATTATGATTAAGAAAACTCAGAAACTCTAAAATGTTCACTAGTATGTTTGCAAAAGCATTAGCAAACCAGCCCTAACTGTGTGGCCCCAATTTTTTAAACATGAGTCTGGTATCAAGTTGCTGTGTAGCAGAAGAGCAACATGGAGGTTCATCTATCTACATGATATTGTTACGTTTTCCCCCGTGGGTTGACCAATACAGCAAACACTTAAACTAAACTTCAACTATTATTTGAATGTCTATCGCCTTACTAGATCACTTCGCGTACCGCACTGTAACGCCCACTTGACTGTGTCGATATCCTCGCGGCTAGCCTTTAAATATCGTAATCGATTGTTGTAGAAATTTCGCCGAAGTTCTGTCGAAGTCGGTAGCATTATTCTCGCTGTTTCTCGAGTGGCGGGGAATCATCGCGCCAGTGGCGGCCGGCGTAATTTTTTTCGGGCATGATTTACAACAATATTATTCAGTTGTTCAGTCCAAAACAAATCGTCTAGTAAGAACTGCATATTGAAATATTCCAGTGTTGAATGTAAAACTTCATATTTTAGATTCATTTTTTATTCATTGAACGCCATTAAGAATATTTTTTGGGGAGTAACCTTTTTGGCTTTCTACTTCGCCGTCATTAAACAAAAAATGTAGAAAACTACAATAGAAACTCTTTACAAAGGTGTGTAGATCTTGAACATAAGTTTCTTTTAGATACAAACTTCTCAATTATAAAAACAATACTGACTTGTCAGTTATTAGTCGATAGCATCTATGATCCATAAAATTCTTTATTTCTAGAAAAATATGAAATAACTGACTGATACTTGATTGGCCGTTACAATTTAAATCATATTAAATAATAAAAGGTCTAATAAACGAACCAGCGAATTTTTATCAACATTGTGCTGTTGCTTTCTATAAAAATTAATAAAGGCATTTACCGATATGTAACCGGCATCTTTAGGATTGGGATTCACAAAAGTAGTTGAGTTAAAATTATCTAAAATTAACAGGTTTGTGTAATATAGATAACCAAAATATTCCCAAGACTCTAAGAATGATGCAAATACATTAGTTGAAACTGATATAGAAATGTATATTAAGACTATACTATATATGAACACTGTAAGCCTTTGTTTGAGAATACAGGAATCATGACTCTATTCTCACAAATTATCTTTGACAATGTTCTGCATGTCAAAGAAAATTATCACACACTCACAACACAGTTGGATAGTCACTCCTACAAAACACGCAATGGAAATAATATTGTGCCCCTCTTAAGAAGATTGGATAAAAGCAAATCAATTGGCATCACTTGCTTCAATTTACTTCCTGAAAAAATTAAACATCTGCCACTCAGACTTTTCAGAAATACAGTGAAAAAACTCCTCTCTAAAATGAGCCTGTATACTCTGAGTGAGTTCAGTGTTACTCTTAAGGATTCGCTTTGAGATATCTAGTGCATCTTTTCCACTTATTATTCCTGTTTCTTTATACATTAAGAATTTTTAAAATGCATTTTATACTCTACATTTAATTTAATTGTTACATTTACAGCTTTTTTATGTAACTGTGCAACGTAATAGGTGACTTGTCCAAAATATTTGTATTTTTTATGGGCGCAATAAAGTGTTCTATTCTATAAAAGGTGGTTTCAGTTTGAAAATGTGTTCATATATTATTATGTTAATATCAGAAAAAATATTAAAAGTATTTTATATGGATATGGGAAAGAAATGTTGTTTTTGGGCTTTTTACTTCCAAAGGAAGTAAGAAAGCTAAATAGGCGACTTGGTCATAACTTCCTGTATATGTAATCACTAGCCCAAAATTAAACGTTTGATGAAACATTTGTTTTCAATGCAGAATTTGAAGCAATCCACACGTGACGACGATTCCGAAAGTGTTATATCTTTTTCGAGCAAATCAGAATGGGATAATCAATCCCTAATCTCAGAAACGTCAACTTCCGCAACTTTGGATAGCGAAGCCAATTTTCCTTCACTTGGAGCAAGAAAGAAAGTGACCTCATCACCATTCAACAACTTCTCTTCTAATGACTTGAACAGCAGTCATAGTAACACCTCTAGCGTCAAAAGTTACGCAGGTGCCATGGGTACATCAGGGTTGAGCAAGCGTGCAATGGATATGCGTAAGTACATATTTGAATTAATGTTTGCTCTAGCTTTTAATAACTGAATTGTGAAAAATAGTATTTACTTGGGTCAGTTTATAATATACATTTCTGAAAACAAATATAACTGATCCAGAAAGTGGAAAATTGCATTTTTTGTATTCTTAGATGCTTGAAAGCCGAATGTTTTATAAATAAAATATGCTTTTTTGTGAGTTTCGATAGAGATGGCATTAGAGAAATAGATCGTAGGTTTGAGGATTTTCCCTCCTTCTGAAAAGGAATGACTGATGTAGTTTTCAAGACATCTGGGAATATTCCAGTTAAAAAGGACACATTAATTGAATATGGCTAGAACAAAGTTCAAAAATATTCATGTGATCTAATTGAAATTTTTTGGGTATTATAATATCTTTCAGGTAATCTAATTGCCATATTGGATGTGAATTTTTTTGCAATAAAAATTGAGGAAATTTGAACAAGAAGTTTGCCTTTTTCCTTGAATCATTGACTATGGCTTAGTTTTCTTTAGATTTGACGGTTCGGAAATTATATAAATATTGTTGCACAGCTTCACTACCCGTTAATTTTCTAAACATGTTGATAGTTTTCATATCAGTTGCAGAGATTTCAATGCCTTCAGTTATCGAGCTATTTTTTTCTTTCTTTGATTTGTTTGTAAGAGGCAACAATGTGAATGCTCAAAAACTTATAGAGACTTACAGTGTCACGTTGAAGTTTTATTGTGTTTGTTCATTGTCGTTGTATAGCGACAATGAAAACAAATTACAGATTATCGGTATCGTCCACATGGATATACACATGCTGTGATTTTTTATGTTTCATGTCAGAAATTCAGAAATGCCACCAAGTTCTTCCTTTCTCGATCTTTTCTATACCTCCTTGTCTCCAGTCAGATTTATTTTTCACTATCCCCCTTCATAAAATCATATCCATATTGAAAATGATGTGTACCATGAAGTAAAAATTCACATAAATTTGATTTGATGTAGAAACGTGTATTTTGCAGTTTGTATCAGCTTTCATGGAAACATTATGTTTTTTACAGCATCATCTTTTACCAACACGGAAAGAAATTTTGAATCTTCAAAATGTAAGTACATTTGGTGTAATGAAGCTATTTGTAACATTTAATTGGTTATTTCAAAAGTTTTGTCCGTTTTTATGAGTCTACTTTAAACTGTAATATCTCAGTGAATACTTTTTCAATCTAATCGAAATAAGTGTCATTTCAATCAGTGCACTTCGCCAAAGAAACACACGTCGATTAATTCCATCAGCTTAAAAAGTGTGTGCTTGATGTAGTCCAACATCGAAGAGTGTGTTCATCAACACTATTGTTACGTTTTTCCCCGTGGGTTGACCAATAATTGACTACACTGAAAAATAATCCAACTTAACTTCATTTCACTTTAAATACAACAAACACTTCAAGTAAAACTTCCAACTATTATTCGAATGTCTATCGCCTTACTAGATCGCTTCGCGTACCACCCTGTAACTTCCACTTGACTGTGTCGATATGCTCGTGGCTATATATCGTAATCGAATGCGGTGAAAAATTCGCCAGAATTCCATCGCAATCGGTAGCATTATTCTCGCTACATCTAGAGCCGCAGCGAACATCGTTCATTCACGCGCTCTTAGCTACGTCACGATTGGTTTATGGCTACCAGTGGCGGCCGGCGTTATTTTCCTTAGGGTATGATTTACAACACTAGTATTGGCCTGGTTAATTTTTGAGCTGTTATGGTAGCGCTTTGGTTCAGTTTGAATTCGTAGAGAAAAATTGGCCGAAAGTTGCTTAACAACATCATAGAGATAACAACTTGACCATACCACACAGTCCCCTACGGCTCTGAGGAATGATTGATTCTCTACAGCCCCCTACGACTCTAAAGCCTCCTACGACTGTGAGGAATATATCTGATAGACCAAAGCTTCGGAAAGGATACACCGAAATGTCCCGTGGGGTCCAATAAAATCATTGGATCATAGAGATAAAGTAATGAGCTGAAAATAGTCAAAAAATAAAAATTTGTAAAAAAATTAACAGCATCAATGTATTGAGTACAAAATTCTTTATCGATCATTGTATACCACGATACAGTAGTATAAATATTTATTGATTTATGGAGCTACAAAAACACATGACATTAAAGCAAACAAAACATTTGAAACAATCGAACACCCTCATTTTAGTTTTCTCTTTGGGTACTTTAATCTTTCACAATTAAAAAAAAACGAACTTTATACAAGTGTAGAAAGGGCAAACCAAGACGAGTTTTTGTGTAATGATAGTAGTCTTTATTTTAAATTATATAAAATCATTTCTTATATATTCATATTAATAATAAAATAATTTTTTAAAAATATAATACATTGTTTACCTCACACTGACAGTAGCAATAATAATAATTGCATCAGCAAATATTGATGATCATTCAGATACATCTTGAAATTGAAAAAAAAAATCTTTGGAAAACTGGATTATATTCTTTTTGAATAGAGACAAATTCAGACTATTTCTATTACTATCTGAAATATTATTCTCCTTGTGTAATCTTCTGTAATAGTGATGAATATCATCGTAATTATGAACTACTGTCTTGGTAGTATGAATGAGCTAGGTCGAATAACAATCTCTTGTTGATGGACAGATAAAGAACAATAGCACAATAATCATTGTACTTTTGGTGTTATGTATGTTGTATGTGATGGAATTGGCATTCTTGATGCAATTGCACAACGTATTCAAGTAACAATTTATTGTGGGATTTTCAGTAAACAGTTTACAAAACTGTGTGTTCATGCTTGCTAGATTCTACCTAATTGGCTTTTTCGATAATGTATCAAGGTTATATGATTAAAATTGATATAAAAATAATAATGTTATAAATAGCATTTATTAAGTACACATTAATTAGGTAGAATTTAGCTAGTATGTCATTAATTTCAGGTGGTGACTACTTGTCATATTTTATGAAAAAAAATTTCGTATGATCATGTGTCTTAACTTGCTTGGTTTCCAAGAAACAAGGTGTTAAAGTTGTACTAAAAATATTGTTCTTTTATCAATAACACAATTATTTTTGCCAATTTTGATCCAACTACATGTGTTTGTTATGAGTAACAAGGGGATTCTTTTCATGAAATTAGATTTGGAATATTAATTTCAGTGGCGTCGCAGATGGTTACTTGATTGATATTTATGGTAAAAATCATTGTAAGTATTGTTTTTCTCTAAGTTTGGTATTTATATCAATTTGAACAATTAATGGAAAAAAAATGTTGAACATAATCTTTTATATGAATGCACTAAATTGAAAAAATATATTCTTCAATTATTTGATCTGGTTTATTCTGTTACATATTCAAACTCTTCCAGTGTATGAATACTTATTTAGTATCTGCTGCAAGCTTCTTACTCACAGAATAACCTAGATCAAACAATGAAAGTTTTTCAATTTTAGTTCATTTGTATAAAAGTTTCTCTTTAAAAATGTTTACTATTTCTACGACACTAACTCTGATTCGATAAAGTTCAGCTATTTCAAATACTATGGTAGTTAACAAAAACTGTGGCATACAATGATTTTTATCGTAAATATCAATGAAATAACCCTTGTGAGTTATTAATAAAAGAACAATATTCTTAGTTATACTGTGACACTCTGTAACTCTGAAATGAAGCAAGTTAGAATACATGACATCATTTAAGATACATCCTTTATATTAACATAGAAAGCCTCTTTTAACGCATCTTTTGTTTCCTGTTTTGAATACATTCTTTGCCATTCTGACGATTCCTCAGTTAATTGTGTCAATGTTCAGCTTCAGATTATGCTCCGGCCCGAGGAAGAGGCGGAAGGAATTTTAATGACGATGCCAGCGACTTTCCAGCACTTGGCAGAGGAAGGGGTCTAGGATTGGGACGAAGCAGAAGAGTGAACAATACTGAATGAGTCATGTGATGATACATGTGTTTTATTATTTCAACCCAGGTTGAAAATTTTTACCTGCTCCCATTATTTCATAACTTGGTACCTTTTAGAACTTGAAAAATGTCTGAAGTGTACTTGCCTGGCTAATCGTACTAATATTTAAGTATAATCGTCTCAAAATTATATATATAATATAAGGTCAAGGCTGTTCAGTTCAACTAATTTTGATTTGTTTTGTACATATCTCTTCCCTTGTTTTTATTTTATTACGTTAGGAATGACGTGTTCCTTGAATAAACTGTTAGTTTTATATCTTTGAAATGTAGACTGATATAAGATTTTTCTAATATAAGTTGAAGAAAACTTTGTGTTTTTATCTTGTTCTTATATACATGGTGTTCTTAAATGTCATGTGAATATTATTTAAGGAGGTGGTTCTAAGAGGAAAACTAGTAAATCTATATCTTGAAACGTTCAGATTGTGATAGAATGCGGTGTTGCACTTTGGTATTTTTCTCAATTTTATAATTTACCTTCTGTTTTCCTGACCCTATTAAGTTTAAATTTGGCTCATATCTTTCTGACTGAAATCTGTTATCAATGTTCATCTGTTGTCGATATTCATTATCAATTTTTATGAAAAGGCTATACAAAGTAATACACTTTTTATGGAGCGTTATTAGATGGTTTCAAAAATTTTGTCCGACCCAAAGACGAAAACCAACCAAAAAAGACCATGGTTACTGTATGGTAGTCAGCGGTTGTTGGATAGGTGAAAAAGCTTGGAAAGTGGGTGCTCCATAATTTGAACGATGGACAGAAATTGCCAAGTTTCAAGGTCTGTTCTTTTTTGCTTTTGCACAACCAAAACGATTCTTTTTTGGATCGTATGATGAAAAGTGGATCTTCTATGACAACAGGAGACGTTCAGGAAAGTGGTTTGACACCGATGAGCCAACCAGGTTGTTGCGGAACGGCTAACATACTCATTTTTATTTTCTTAATTTTGCCTCACCCTGTACCCTCAAAACGACTTCATTATGATTGCGCCCTCTGTGGTGTGTTGGAGCGATGAAAAGGGACGAACAGTGTTGTTGTATTGTTCTTCTATGTGGTTGATTGTCCGCCATTCTCGACTGCCCAGTTCAACGGTGAATATTCGTTGTTTGCTGATAATATTTATGTTTATCACACCGCATAATATCGTGCTTCTTGATACACGGATTAGCTTCGACCACAAGAACTGGTACCAATCTCAGGACTCTGATGAGACAGCCGCAATCCACTCAAGGTAAGTCGTCTTTGAGGGATTTAATTTAACATTTTGTTAAGTATCATAACGGTATACAGTCCCTACTATTCCTATTACCGTTCCGTTACACAGGTACTTCCCAAAGACGAAAACCCATCAAAAAGACCATGGTTACTGTATGGTGGTCAGCGACTGGTGTGACTCACTATTACTTTCTGCAACTGGGCCAAACCATCACAGCACTTAGTGTGGGAAAATTGACAAAATGTAAATTTGCAATGCGACGTTTCGTTCATTAAATTTCATCAACTATTTTTTTTTTAAACGGACATGTAATACATAACTGAAATCGTTGTTACAGTGGCTACAAAAGTGGATGGAAAAACTCGAGGTCCGTAACTTTTGTCCAATTTAACCAATCATGTAGGTCTTATCATTTCTGAAATAGCAATAATTGGATTAGCAAAAACAGCTTGTATATACTTTGCTTCAGAGTCGAAAAATGCATGGGAAAATTCTGGATTCAAATACTTTTGCTGATATTCCAAGTATCTACTACTTGATCATATTGTTATCAATATTCTGAAAAATGATATTTTTGAGCTCCTGTTTCATGATAGCTCATCAGGCGAAGCTATGTTTTTAGCCCATTGTTTGTGGGGACCTAAAAATCTTCAATCTATTTTATTTGTACTTCTAAAACCATAAATATAGGTATAACTTATTAGAAAAATTTGATATTCATTGTTTCGGTATGTTGTCAGGGTGTTCCATCTCAGACGTGTGTTATCATCATGCTTACAATCAAAAAAATCAAATCTGCGTGTTTAAATCCAATGTTACAATTATCCTCCATTGACTTCCATACAATAATTCTTTCTCTTAAACTAACAAATAAAAAAACGGCAAAACATTTTATTATCTTGCCTTAATTTTTTTGTGCTTGGAAGGTGATTATTTGGTTGTAACGTTTCTTCAATCATTTCAGAATTGAAATCAATCTGTTGAGTTACTAATTTGCTGATTTGTTTAAAATTTCGAAAAATATGGTATACACATTGCAAGAACGTGTTGAGCTGGTTAGCCTTTATTACCAAAAACAAAATTGTGTCCTAGCGGCTGCAAGGATATTTAACCAAAACCATCCTGAACGTAGAGTTCACCAGAAGTACGTACTGGAATTGATTTTAAAATTTGTGGAGACGGGTTCAGTTATGGATAAAAAAGGGCACCCATTGGAATTGTGAATGACGAAGGAGCAGCTGTGGCGGTATTGGGACATGTCCAACTTATGCCAAACACGCAATCTGTACGACAACTTTCTGCAGTTTCTGTTATTAGTCAATCTAACGTTTTCACACACAAATTCCATCCGTACAATATTAAATTAATTCATGAATTAAATAATGATGATTGAGATCGAAGGCAAGAGTTTTGGGAAATTATGGCCGAGCGTATCAACAATAACCCAAATTTCTTGTACAATTTTTGCTTTTCTGACGAATGCACTTTTTCACTTAATGGAGAAGTTAACCGGCGTAACTGTAGAATTTGAAGTGATACAAATCCTCATGTATTTCAAAAAGCTCACACTCAACATCCAGAAAAGCTAAACGTTTGGGTAGGAATCTTGGGAGACCACCTAATTGGACCTCTGTTTATTCCTGGTAATTTAACTGGCGAACGTTACGAAATGCTGGAAAATACGATTGATCCGTTAATAACTGAACAATTAGAAAACTATCCTCTACTACTTGAACAACAATTGCATTTCCAACAAGATGCAGCTCCTCCGCACTACGCCGCACCAGTTCGCCAATACCTCAATTTGCAATACCCCGGTCGTTGGATTGGAAGAAGAGGTCCTATGGAGTGACCTGAACCCTCTGGACTTCTTCTTGTGGGGGCATCTCAAGTCCAAGATTTTTGTGACTCACCCTGAAAATTTGGACGAACTACGCCAATGAATTGTGAATGAGTGTCGTCAAATAACTCCAATTATGCTGAATCATGTCAGAGACGGTTTTCAGTCAAGATTGTATTATTGTATGGAAGTCAATGGAGGACAATTTGAACATTTGATTTAAACCCGCAGATTTGATTTTTTCGAATGTAAGCATGATGATAAAACAATTCAATTTTTTCAACTATGTGATTTTTTGAAGATTGTTTAAGTTTGTAAAAAGCGCTTAATAAAAATGGGCTTGTACATGTAAAAATAACCAAATTATTCAAGATGGCTCGTTCGAGCTGCAAAATAGATTTTTGGCGATAACGGTTTATCAAATTTTCGTTTTTCATACACCGTTGTAAAGAGGCTTCCAAGACCTTTCAAATTAAGTATCACTCAACCTCTCTCCCCTATTCAAGTTTGAGGGGTTGAAGAGCCCCCCCCATTAGGGGGTTGCTCGTTCAAGCTTAAAATATACATCAAAAGATGTCCCCCAAACAAAATCATTCAACGTGTTTCGGGAAATTTTTTCCACTCACTATGGGATAAGAAATATACGGGGTGGCTCGTCTGAGATGGAAAACCCTGTATATTTGGCGCGTTGAATTTATTCATCACCTGTATGGTTAATTTTCTTTAGAACTTATTTATGTTGTCTTCTGAGATTATGATATTCTGTTTCCAACAATACTAGATATAAACTAGATGGCCATAATATATTCTGCAAAACGTATCCCATTTATGTCTTTAAGATACAAAAAAGAAATCTAAATACTTTATATCAAGTAATAGAAATTAGAAACAGTGGAAGAATCTCTAATTTTGATTTCCTAGGCTAATAGTGATAATTTGCAACTTTTTTCATAGTCTCTTTTATTAAATATATACATCATTTCCACCACATAATTTTATTAAATCATATTTTTTTAAAAATCGTAATGAATGGAATCATCTTCATCCCTGACAAGCTTCTGGATAGCTTCTCCTGGCCAGCTCACACACCACTCCTCTGAAGTTCTCGATACTGTTGTTATGAAGTTCATCAGAAAGTTTCTGAAATTAAATATGTAAGTAGAACTACGTTTTCACAGTGAATGTTTCGGAACTTACCCCTTCGTATAAAATTGTTGGCACTGACACTGGGCGAATCCTTGCTGTATCTTTTTCAGCCGTCAACTGTAAGATTGTTCCTTCTTCGGAGTTGTAGCAATCAAGAATCTCATTTGCATCCAAACCAACTGATTGGGCACACTACAAATATGAGATTTTCATTACAAGCTGTGTGGAATTTCTTGAAATGTTAATTAGAAACGACTGTCTTAAGAAATATAAGGCAAATTTTAGATAATATAAACTTGCTCTCTCAGCAAATTACTTGAACGAAATTTCAACAGAACAGTTGATATACCTCAAAATCCTATACATATGTAATTAAGGGAAAAAAAATGAATTTGTTGGAAACCATGGAAATTACCAAATCAAATAAAAACCAGAACTATATACCCCTAAACGAGAAATTCGATTTATGTAGGTCTCCACTCTTGAATTTATGAGTTTAACAACCCCTATAATCTTCAGTGTTGTTGAATTTTAAAGATGGCACCATGGTTTGTTCAACTACCTGTACTTCCATCTTACCTGAAAACTCCCAATATACCCGAGTTTTCAAATTTCACATTTCAGTTTTATACTTAATAATGGGGTTAAATCCGAAGCCGGTCTTATAAATAAAATTAACTAGTGGTAATTACACAAAAGTTTTATTCATTTCATTATAGTAAAAAGCTTATAGTAATTTAATTTTCACGATGAGTTTCCACCTCACACAGCTTAAATTGTGAATATATGTTCGAGACGAGTATACCAACATAAAAAAATTTAAAAATCGCTAATCGAATACACGTAGCCCGCGAAATTTGAATATTTCCCTTTTTTAACAGACCTAGTACTTCATTATTGAAAACAAATTTTGATTATTAAATTTCAAGGATAAATCGAGATTATATTACCAGATGAAGATAACACTGAACCTTCTTTAAATTAGTATTACGTGAAGGTAGCAAATCGGCCCCGACTTGGCCCCAACCAATTTACAAAAAACAATTATTTGCCTAATTTGTTAACCTGCTAAGACCATTTATAGGCAAATTTATATTTTTGAAAAATTCTCTATCTATCTGAAGGAATAAAAACTGTAATATGTTATAAAAGAGAGGAAATTCTCTGGGCGAATAAATGTTTTCTTGCCAGCAATGAAATTCTGCCTAATATCCATTGGGTGCCATTCATTAGTTCATTAGGAAAGACATTTGGAAAGAAGAATAGCTCATTGAAGCCGAGCAAACAGTTGTATTCAGTTTAACCGAAAATGAACCCAAGTCAAGGATTTCGAATGGATGTCTCTTTAGGTTAAGTTAGGTTAGGTAGGTCCGAAGTGAGTGAGTCTGTTCGACCCCCACCACAACCCTCAAGGGTTTATTGTGGCTCACACCTATTCACTCTCGACCAAATAAACCAAGCTTCATAACGAAGCCGATTAGTTTGTATGGTGAGTGGTCTTTCAGGTCAGATGGTACGAGTACGGCTCTGCCGATCTCTAAAAACCTGATTTGGTCCCAAGCAGGGCAGGCACAAAGTATGTGCTCTGCTGTTTCATCATTTTCCAAACAGAGGCGACACACACTGTCTTACGACAGTCCGAGTTTCTGCATATGATGATTCAAATGACAGTGATCTGTAAGCAGAAGGTCTGTTAGACATCGTAGTTCATCCCTACCGTAGTCCAACAACAACTCTATGTTCCAAACCATTTAATAGGATATGAAATTATCTCCACAACAAAGGGGCGGAGTATCAGTAATTTTCTCCAAATTCAATATGGCGGCGCTATGACGTCATCCATGGGAATATTGCCAAACAACTTGTTGTAGTGAGTGATAAAAGATATAATTTGACAAGAATTGGAAGTTTTCACCAATTCAAGTACTTTTCATCAATTTTTTGTTATGGAATTTTTTACAAAAAAGTGACTAAGTAGTTATTATCACATAATAAAGCATAGCACAGAAAAGTGAATTGCAAAATATCTTTGACATTTTTTGAAGTACAAAAGGTACACTCAAAGTTTAAAAAAATACCATTTTCTATTATAATGAGAATTTCCAGTTAAGATGAAATAAAAAATGACATCAAAAAATTCAATAGCTTGTACCTTCGTAAATTGGTGAAAAATTTCATTTTGAAGATTCAAGTTGATTGGTCGATAATGAAGATGTTGGGTTTTCACGGATTCATTCATGCAGGGATTTTTTACCTCTGCGTATGCTGATCTGCTCAGGAGGTATTTCTCCCCAGATGCAGATCCTGCTTCTGTAAAGCAGGATCTGCATAAACTTTGTAAAGCAGGATCTGCATCTGAGAAGACTATAAGTTACTTACTTCCAAATTTACAAAATGGACATGAACAGTTGATGATGGCTATATATAAAACAGATGACAAATACCTTTTAGAGATTTGTTTTCCTATTTCTTTCTTCAACATTTTTTTTACCTGCTGTCCAAACTCTTGGGGGTCGTCCTTCCGGGATCGGAATGATTCCATGAAACAATTGGTAAACTCCACCTGTCGATCCTGATCAGGTAGCATGTTGTATGCACATGTCATGATTCTATTTCCTTTACATTCTAAAGGACCATGTTGGCAAACAAATTTTGCACCGTTATCCAAACTCTAAGGAAGTAATATAGTTGTTAGGAGAAATAAGAAGCCAACATAATATTCTCACCGAACTCTTTCCAAATGGTACCAATTTCAGATTGACATATGGTGATATTTCCTTCCAGCTTGGATAGAGTTGATTCTTGATGAATCTGTGGCTATCAGGACACAATGACTCAAAAAGAACTTCTACGTTCACCTGAAAATAAATCAATGAATTGACAATTATTTTACATTTGATAATAATCAAACAAGGACCGAAGGACTGAAATATTACTGCTCGATTGAAAAGAGAAATGGATTTTTTTCTGTTACAATGTTTTTATGTTACAATGCGAATAGATGTTGAGGATTTTCACACGATAGAGAATACTGTGAAATTAAATGAATGCATGTTTTTCTACATATAATAATAATAAATGGCCTTCATTTTTATCTTGGCGGAGTTTAGCTTACGCTATTCTACCACTCGAATTAACATTAACTTTCAGGAAAGTTGTAAGTTAGCTTGATGTTTTCTGATATGATACCAACTTTTTATATCTAAGGAGAAGTGTGCTCTTGAGAACATAATGCCACCACCGAGGATACACTGAACCCAAAACTTTAACAATTTTAGAGGATAGTCGATGGCATTTTTACTTATCTGGGCTGATTGAAAAAATATCCACTCCCTGTACTATTTTTTTTTCGAACTGGTGCTGAAATCTTCTTTTGGGTCGATAGAGGTGTATTCCTTATCATCCAAATGATCTTATACCAGCAGACTCCGTTCTATCTGGTTAGGATCATATAAATAAATTCAACTGAAGGATGGAAGTGCCCTGAAGTACCTATCTTTCTCAGGGCACTTAAAATGATTAACTTCTCTGCAAATTTCTCGTTTCTTCGATGAAATGATTTTCTTTATTGATTAATTTTTTTCAACCACAAAATAATTCCTTGAATTTTTCCTTCATGACTTTATATATCTGCCCCAATTCTTATAAGGTCTCCTACAGTTATTGACGCCTGTTGCCAAGTGTGCTGTAGTATACAGGTTTTCAAAATTCCTGCTATTAACTGGTAGTCATTTTGATGATTTTATGGAATGTCCTGTGAGATTCCTAATGCCTGACTTGGCGATTATAAAACCAGTAGTGTTGGCTGTCCACTTGTATTCTAGTTAATCCATGATGACTTTCTATCATGTATAGATCTTCATAATCCAGTAGAATCGTTCTTGTTGGGTATGATGTTTTTTACTCAAGGAGGACTTGATGCTAACCAAATTTGTATTTGGAGATTAAACATCAATGTTCCTTGATGGAATATTGATCCGACTCGAAAAAGATCACAAACTAGAAAAGCTTTCAAAAGTGCAAAGAAATCAGGTACACGGATGACCCAATAAAAAAAAATCCCTAACCGAATACGACACATCATTATAGCAAATTGAGAGAGATATTTGGGGGGGGGGCAAGAACAGACTAAAGTAGGTACATTCTAGAGTCCAAGGATCCTCAAAGAATTATATAAAAAGAAATAATAATAATAATATAGGTCTTTATTTCCTGTAGCTACTACATATACACCAAACTTATCAAAAAAATAATAAAAAGAACAACATTAATACATTGGAAAAACGCCGAAGATCAGGTGGTCTGTTTATCTGGTAATAGACAGATAGACTAATATTATTATTAATACCACAGAGTGAACAAAAAGGAGGATAGACTATGGAAAGCTTCTCCGGATGAATTTTTCTAGGTAAGAAATCTGAAATCTAGCATAGAAGTCTTGGACAAATTTAAAATTGGAGGCTCCTAGAAGGGCATTGAGAAAGGAGTGCCAGGTGTTGAAGAAAGTGATCTGGAGCAGATTCAATGAGCTGAACTCATTTCAACTAAAGTAGTGTCCGGAACTAGATGGTATATATCCTGTAATGCTGCTTAAAAGGATTACAATTTCCACTTTGAAACCTATGTGCAAATTGGGTGTATGATATATATTCAAAATGTGGATACTCACTAGGACCACGTACACACCGACTACATTTCCATTGAAAACATCAGAAAAATTACTTGATAAGTGTATTCAAGGACGTACATTGGCCAACAGGTCATTAAAATAAGAATAAAAATGCTTTATTGTCCAAAGAAAAGCTCTTATTGACAAAGCTTTGGTGAACATTTTGAGAAAGAAAAAACATAGTCAAGTGCATGATACATACATAAACAAACACAAAAATGATTAAAAAAATAATGTATAGAAACAAATGTGTATGAAATATGATTAAAAGGTATCGTTATAAAATTCTTGCAAACTATAATAGGGCCTCTCGATAAGAAAATCCTTTGTAGATTTTCGATATTCAGTAAAGTTTACTACGCATTTCAGGTAGTTAGGAAGATGATTATACATCTTGAGATCATTATACAATATATAATTTTCAATTAAAGTAGTGTTAGGTATGAGAAGACTTAAATTTAGGGTCTGTCGTGTGGTGTAATGAGAAACAATAGAGGGAAGTTCTGTTCTATGTTTATACACTAAACAAACTGTTTCTGAAATGAATAGAGCATACAGTGATAAAATTTTGTTCGCTACAAACAAAGACCTACAAGAATCTCGCCGCCTGGCTTTACAGAGAAATCTCAATGACCTTTTCTGCAGAATAAAAATCGACTCGAGTCGAGTTTGATTACTTACCCCCCAGAAAGGGATCCCATATCTTAGATGTGTTTCTACTAATGAATAATATACAGTTTTAGCTGCAGTTAGTCCTAGTTCGTTAGAAGTTATTTTTACAGCATAACATCCAGATGAAAGTTTTTTGTTAAGAGATATTGTGTGGTCCTCAAATTTCAATTTATTATCAATCAATAACCCAAGAAATTAGTGCATGACGTGTTCTCAATCACATTTGAATTCAAAGCTAGAGGAATATTATCAAGAATGCAATTAAAGGGTAAAACTTTAGTTTTTGAGACATTGAAAGCTAATAAATTTGCCTTACACCAATCTGAAAGTTTGGGAATATCCGAGCAAATGGCATTATATAGATCATTTGTGTTGGTATTGCGCCATAATATTGTAGTGTCGTCGGCGAATGAAGTAAATTCACCCTCTATATCAATGGTGGTCAAGTCATTGACATAGGAGTAGGAATTGGGGTGGTACGCCGTTAGATATGTCAGGAACATCAGATACTGTTGTATATTAAATTCTTTGACTTCTACCCGATAGATAAGATGCAAACCATTTATGAGTAATACCCTCAATACCATAGAGATAAAGTTTCCTGAGCAGAATTTCGTGATTAACACAGTCAAATGCTTAAGAGAAATCGCAAAAGACTGTTGCTGTAATCTCCTGTCTATTAATGTTACTATACACTCCATATAAAAATGAAAATATGGCATCATGAGTATTTTTGTTTGACTGAAATCCAAATTGTTTGGAGCTTATTAAATTACCGAAGTTCAAATGTTCTGTTAAACGTATTTTTACCAGTTTTTCAATAATTTTTGCTAACGACGGAATAAGAGAAATCGGGCGATAGTTCGAAGGATTCTCTAGATCACCATCTTTGTAAAGAGGGATTACGATCGAAGTTTTTAAGAACGAGGGAAATGAACCCGTTAGAAATGAATGATTGATTGCCTTCGCCAATGCATTTAGAGCAGTATCAGGAAGATTTTCAAATATTTTCATAGATAATTCGTCGTTACCAAATGCCGATTTATTTTTAAATGAAGCGATTATTGCCTGTAATTCGCAAACATGTGTAAAATTAGTTTCTCGTCATTGCGTAATTTCTCAAGGGGATCATACGGTGCGTCAGATTTATTTGTTAAAGTGGCGGCTATTGTACAATAATATTTATTAAGTTCATCTATTAGTATTGGTATATCTGCTCGTTTATTTTTATACTTTCCTCGAAAGTCATTTATAATAGACCAAGTCTCTTTAGCTCTATTACTTGCTTGGGTAACCCTTTTTTGATAAAAATTACATTTTGCATGGTTAATCAGGTTTTTATAAATGTTTTTGTATTTTTCAACATAGTTATGAAATGCTGTGTTATTTGTGAATTTTTTAATGTAGTTAAGCGATCGTAGATTACAAAAAGATATTTTTATGTCTTTGCTAAGCCAGTGCTTTTTTAATTTTAATTTTAATTTTTAATGGGGAAAGGAGTCATTAAAAATCAATATCATCCTGAGTATGTTCCCAATTAATTTGACTACATTTCAAATAGAACTTATTATAGTTTGCTGTACTGTAGAGTCTACCATACTTGAACTTCTTACCTTGTTTTGTAGAATCGAAGTTAACACTGAAGTGAATAGCTTCATGATCAGATAATCCAGAAAAAATAACAGTGCATGACATGAAATTATCGTCAAAGTTACTACATACATAATCAATAATCGAATTACTATGTTTGTGTTATTGAATCGAAACTCATACTCGAACATGGAAACAACGGGTCACAGCAAAAATAGAATATGCACAGCAGAAGAATAGCCAAAAGTTCAAAGAAGTAAGTACTTTTTGAAATATTTTCATAACAAAGCACAAAGAAGTACTTAAGACTGTTCCTTCGTTTGTAAGGGTGCATTCTGCAATATTGTTTTATACGATTTTTGAGAGAACGTCAATTGAAACAACTTTACTTGTTCAAGTCAAGATAGCAACTGGCAGTCTACCTGCCTCCTGAGCAAAAAATATGTTTTTAGAAATAGTCATTCATGCGCCATTTACAAAAATGATCGATGTGAAATGCTAGAGGATACCTATGGACTGCAGAAGGCTAAATATATTTCTGAATATGTGGAGGAATGAACCTCAAGAACGGCTCGCATGACACTTAGGAACACTTCTCACACAAACTTGTTATTACGAGAGATGTATACACTGTATGCGAAGAGTGCGTACTGAGGAGAATATTGCTGCTATATTGTCCAGTGTCAATGAAGATCTTGATATGTGAATTTGTCGCCGTTGTCAATAATTGTGCTTGTGTTATTCGACTATCTGGGAGATTTTACGTAAGGACCTTGGTATCAAATCAAACAAGATACATTTGCTGCAAGAACTGAAGCCAGATGACGTATCGCAACGTTATTTGTTTGGTGAATGGGTCTTAGGGGTCTATCTTCAGCTCATTTTTGGCTCAATGGGTATGCGAACAAACAGAATTGTCAAAGTTGAGAAGAGCAACCAGAGACAGTTCAAAAGCTGATATTGCACCCTGAAAGATCCACTGTTTGGTGCGGTTTGTGGGTCAGCGGCATCATTGGATCGTACTTCTCCAAGAACGATACTTACAGTCAATGGAACAAGGTACCGTGCGATGATTATCAACTTGTTTTCCCAAAATGTAAGAATTTGACTTGGTTGAATTGTGGTTTCAACAAGACGATGCTACATGCCACACGGCACGCAATACTATGAACCTATGCGAGTTTGGTGATCAATCAATTTCACGTTTTGGAGCAGTCCGCTATTGGCCGCCAAGATCATGCGATTTGACCCCACTAGACTATTTTTTCTGGTGATACGTCCTGGAAGACACCGGCCAAAATGCTGGAAAAAGTCAGAATTGGAGGTACCGGCCAAAATGCTGGAAAAAGTCAGAATTGGAGGTCACGGATGAAATAATCTTCAAAAAGTAAATGGCAGGCAATAATTTTTTGTCCCAAATGAATATTTCATTCACTTTTGCAAATTTTCTGCTTTTTTTTTCAATTTTCACTGTAATCAGAATTTTTCAAGGTCGGTTACCTTTACAAAAAAGTACCTAATCAGACCTGACTTGGCAAAAATTTCAAATTGAACAATAAAGGTTATTACTTATTCCACGTTTCCCGCAAATCACATATAAATGTCAAATTTTCGCGAAACGATAAACTCTATCATGAAATATATTGTTTTTTATAGAGAATTTATAAACAAATGAAAAATGTGAAAATTTTTTTTATGTTATCTAGTAATATAAAAAAGTTTTTGCACCTTTGAACTTGAGTTTTAAAAAAAAGCACTCTTAAAATTTACTCAGACCTTTCAGTTTTTTACCATAAAATAGAGGCCAGGAGAAAAATACTAGGAAAAATCATAAAACCCAATTGAATATCTTTGACATTTTTTTTAGGAACTCTAAATAAAGAAAACTTACCCTGTTATCTAGTAGCACTTCTTGAAAGGAAAACACCCACATCACCAGAAAGCTATTTGCAATATTCCTCTTCATATCTGCATCCGTTCGGTCAACTGGTTTGGGAGGTTGTGTACAAAGTGAGACTTGTTTGAGAAATCATGAATGAATCAGTGACCTTCCTTTCACTTTCTCACATCTTTAAGATTTGATCACATGTATGGGAGCTTATGTCCATTAACATGCAAAACGACAATTTTTTTATCATTACTTTTTCCAACGAGTGCGCATGAAACAATAATAAGGAGATGCTGTAATATATTATTAGGAAGTTGTGCTACATTCACGATAGCTCACATTATGACAAGAAAATTACATTATATTATATATTTGAAAAAGTTGAAGTTGTTTTTTTAACCATTTTTTGGTTCAAATGTCATTTGAAAGTCTAGAAAATCCAAAGAAATTGAGAAACCTGGTGAAAACTATTAGAGTTTTGCAAACATTTCTAAATAATGTTGTGTAATAATTACTAGATTCGAATCAGAAAAGTGAAAACTCCGAATCAAATCAAAATATACTTATGGAAAAGAAAAGTTTTGGCTTTCTACTTCTTCATCTCAATTCTAAGAAAAGAGGGAATCCTCTGAAGCAAAGAAAAAACCAATTAATATCAAAATAAACTTTTTACAGAAGTTTGTAATTCATGTAAAGAAGTAACTTTTAGATACAAACTGGAACAAAGAACCCTCTAGAAGAAACACTTTCTTTTATATGAAAGTAGTTGTTTCCAAAGTATTTTTTAATAATAATAATAATAATAACGCCCTTTATTGATGGTTTCATACAATTACAACCAATCAAATGGCAGGATTCAATATCTGCGTATGATAAATAATCGCAGAGATTGATCTTTCATCCAACCGTAAGATCAAAAGAGAAAGAAACAAAAGAGTATGCTGTCATCGAAATTGAAATACAAAATATATATATTTTTTTGAGCTTGGAGAAAGGTTGATTGATTTCGGCATAATTCGATTAGTTGGATCTGTTTATTGTCAGAAGATATTTTTTATCTTTCGTTTAAAGCTTCCTAATGGCAGAGGCAATATGATAAGCGAAAGATACGCGAAATAGAGAAGCTTTATGTTGTGGTATTTTTAAATGTATCCTGAATCTCAAGTTAAGATGGCCTACGTCAGTTTTAGAAGATATTTTTTTGAAAAGATAAGAGGGTTTTTTGTTTCAATGAAAAAATGTTGCAGAATGAAATGTTCGACTGGATTCTCAATTCCACCAACCCACATTCCCGAACAGATGGGAAATGTGTTCTAGTTTCCTTGTATTTTATACCCGTTATAATGGGGGAGCCCAAGCGAGGATTTCGGGATATACTAAAGCGCGGCAGAATAATATACAGGGGGATACCTTGTACCCGGTTAAGTACCTCTACCAAATATGAGCCCCATGTATAAGGCCGCCCGTGAAGGATAAAGGATCAGATTAGTAAAAAAAAATTGATCATCTGAAATTCTCGAGCACGTCAGATTAAGGTAGGGTGAGTTAATTACATGCTGAAAAGTGTATGTTCCATTAATCTGACAATTTGAGAGTGACCCAAAGAAAGGGGAGGGCAGCAAAGTTTTAAAAAAATAACTTCATTCGACATTCTTGAGCGTAGCTAATTTTTCTTTCATTTTGAAGGAAATAATTCAAGGATAACGAAAAATATATAATCTGACGATTTCCGCAAGCCAAAATAACAAAAATTCGTCGATAAAGTTTAATGCGTGCAGCTGTATGATACCTATATTTTCCTCTCCAAGTTTCTATTTCTCTTTCACTTTATCTCTATCTATTACTCTCTCACTTCGTCCCCACTCTGAATTCTGTTGTCATGACGCCATCACAGCTGATCACAGAGACTCGTTCGTGATGAAGATGATGATTAATTGATCAATTAATTATAAATAATTTTTTTTTTGAGCATTTAAAAAAAATATTTTTTTGTAACTACAAGTATTCTACTTAAAAAACATACACTTATTTATTTGCATGCTATTTCCTGAGCTTTTCAATTATTTAAGTTCAATGATTCAAAAACAATTATTTTTTTTTGTCAGATTAGGCGAATCCCTCTAGATTCTAGATAATCATCAAATTATGAGACAGCACGTCTAGAACATAAAGATGAACCATATATATCTTAATCTGAAGCGCTTGAGTATTTCAAAATGGCGAATTTTTTTTGCACATTATAATGATGGCAGCGAGTTTGTGTCAGATCGAAATCGTCAGATTATTGAATGGGAGCTTTTTTTTGGGTGCACTTAATACCCCCTTAGAAAATCTGACGCGCTCGATTAAATTTTTTTTCTTTTCACTTTAAACCGTTACGTTCAACCACCCGCATCATACAAATGATCAGATTAACATACCAACATTATTAAAAATACGTAGGACATTGATACTATCAATATCTGACGCGCTCTAGTATGTCCATGCAACAGTATTTTTTTACATATTTGAAAATCTATAGCCGCTTCCCTCACCAATGAAAAGTTATATATTATATAATATTTTTTTCTTCTTATCATCTAAGCTTTGCAACCCAATATGTCTCTATGACGCTCGAGTAAATCTCCATTTTGCATCGTGGGCTCCCCTACTATAATGAGCCTAATACATGCATTCTGGAGCTTTTGGATTCTAAACATGCCACTCTTCAAAATTCCCGGACCATACACCACGTCTGCGTAGTTGGCATGCGAAAGAACTAAAGCATCGAAGAGTATAAATTTACTTTTTTTATTCAGAAATGCTCTGTTGGAATATATCACATTCAAATTTGCATAACCCCGTTTCAGAATTTTCTTTCGCGTAATTCAATGTTTATATGACAGTAGTTTTTTCGAGACGGCTGTTTCTTCCAGTTCGAAGTTATCAAATAATTACTTTTCATCAAAAGCTGGATTGCTTTGAGTATGTCATATTCTTCTTTCCTACAAATCTGGTGAACGTGGGGATCATACAATGCTGTATTCTCCCAATACAATGCCGTGGAGAATGTTGGTTTAAATACTGCTAGACAGTTGAGGCAAAATGCGAAATAAAACCGTTCTGTTGAAAAATTAAATACCCATCATATTGTTGATTCGATTAAGGAAAGAGAAGTTATTGATTTCATATTGGTCTTTGGAGTTAATAAATTTGTCTTCTCACGATTTCTGAGGATACCTAAAAAGTAGAATCTATAGAGGCAATTGGCATTGCTAGAAAATTTGCATCAAGTTTCATAGAATCTCTCTGAAAATACTGTGGAATGTGCAAGAATGTTTGACATCAGTTCGAACCAAGTTGTAAGTACGCAGCTGAACAAATTTACATTTCAAAATGTGTTTTTTCATAAAACTATCAGGTGTTTCTAATTTAAAGGAAAGTTACAAAAAATCTAAAATATTGACGCTGATTACAGATGTCTTTCGTTTTAGGTTAGCCACCGTGTATATGCCCCATTGCCATGTGCCATGTGACTTTCGTGAAATTAACATTTAGCAGTAAAACAAACGTGTCGAAATAACTTTTTATATTACTAATAAAGATATGTACAGATCGATTTAAATTATTTTTAATTTCAAAACGTTCACATTTATTAATATCTACTGAGTATTTTCAACGACTTTCAGATTGATTTCTTTTATTACATATAAATACTCTTAATATGAACTTAATATGAACGAACCCTTTAGAAAAATATTTACAAGAAAATAGGTGAGTATACAATTTCGTTCATTTTAATTGAATACCTGAAAATATTCTATTCTGCAATATCAATCTTTATAAAGTTCAAAATATTGTCATTTTTCATTGTAACCAGGAAAATTATTTTCTATTTCAATGACAAACATGAAATTTGGTATAGTACGAGTAGATCACAGACATACCACAGAAACTATTGAAGCGTCTACTTGAGAATTACGGAAAGTGAAATCTCTTGTTTGTGGTGCTTTTACAAATGAAATCATAAGAAAATATCTGATATAATTGTTTGTACAATATCTAAATAATTAAAATCATAAACACTGAAACCATATCGATTTAGTCCGTTTTAGATTTTTTACAGAATTCTTTCACATGTTCGTCTGCTACAATCAATTTATAACTTATTTTTGTTCACTTATAGCAACTGATTGGTTATTATTTTTTGCCCACTCCTCAGAAATAACATGCATACTATTTGCGTTTTCGGCAAATAAGCATACATGGATGCTTTCTTGAAAAAAAACCCTAGTTGATATCTCCTCAAAAACGTTAAATCATTTCGACCTATAGAAAAGGACATTTTTTAGCATGTTATTAGGTGAACAAAACTTGAGAAAGTGGAAAGTTTACTTGATTGAATTTCTAACGATTTCTGTTTATCATGTTGGATATATATTGTTTACCAATTCAATTATCATACAGAGTGGTCCAACGAAAAGTATGCACCTTGCTTTTCTCCTTTTTTGGTAACTTGACGCAAAAATGCTCGGACAGGTCTATTTTGCTTTTGAGGGGGACACATTTTAGATGTATTTTTTTACCTGTGCCTTGAACCCCCTAGCGAGGGTGAGTAACAACCCTAAAATTTTAAATGGAAAGTGGGGTCGAGTGATATATCATTTGAAACGGCACAAAATTATCTTTCCAATGGTACCAATGATTTTGTATTTCACTCAAACATGTAGGTATTATGAAGAAAAACAACTACAACCCAGTACTTTGAAATGTGTAATTGACTTAGTTGAATCCTACTTCAGCAAGTGCTGAAAATGTGACCCATTTGCTTTTATACAATAATACAGATTTTGTTCAAATCTATTCCTAACATTCTGTAGCATATCAGGTGTTATACTTCTGCACTCTGCTGTAATTCGTTGGCGAAGATCTTCTATGTACTCGGGCTGCGTAGCAAAACATTTAATGATATATCACTCGACCCCACTTTCCATTTAAAATTTTAGGGTTGTTACTCACCCTCGCTAGAGGGTTGAAGGCACAGGTAGAAAAATACATCGAAAATGTGTCCCCCTCAAAAGCAAAATTGACCTGTCCGAGTACTTTTGCGTTAAGTTACAAAAAAAGGAGAAAAGCAAGGTGCATACTTTTCGTT